TATATATATATATTTAAAAAAAAAACAAATATGTAACATTTAATACGAATACTCAAAAGTTAAAAGTAGGTATACAATGTTATCTAGATGTATTACGGTGCGCATTCCTTCGGTGGATATTTATTATATGATTTTTCTCATCGCCTATTAATTTATTCTGCTTACGATACTTTTGTGACAATAAAAATTTATCTTCTTAAATTTACATCTTAACATTTTTTAAATAAATTTATGCTGTCATTTTTTTCTGCCTATCTTAGTTTTGTGGTTGATAAACTTCTCTTAACATTTATGTTTAAATCATGAAGTTTTCATTTAGTTTTTACGTTTGACCCTTTTTTGTGTGGGGAAACCGCTGAGGCTTAACCTGAGAGCGGATGACGGGCTCGGACTCAGCGTCTTTTCTAAACAATTATTAAATTTAACTTACGAGACTAGAGCGGAGAAATGAATGGACGTTGGATCATTATAATTTTTTTTTAAATTTAAATTTTACAAATTTAGTTCTTAATATTGTTCATTCGCTTGATTTTAATGGAATTACATACTTTTTTCATTATCCTTGGTTGTTGTGAAATTTTTTTAAAAGTATAAATACAATTCGTTAAACATATTGTTGTATGTGTCTATTATAGAGTTTAATTTTAAGAATCGGTAACACTTCCAGTCGTTATTCTTTTAATGATTAACTGAAAGTGGTGCCGACCATGCGTTGGTTTAGTTATTTAAATCATTTTATTAATTATTAATGTTTTTCATTCTTATTTCTTGCTGTAATTTTATTTTTAGAGCGAATATTATAACAGCAAATACCTCAATTAAAATTACTGCAATAATACAATACCTCAACTCATATGACAACCAATACCTCATTCGTACGATTAGGAAGACCACAATACCTCTAATAGTAACTATATTAATTTTATGTTCCAAAATTTACCTCAAAATTTACCTCAAAAAATTGTACAAATTATATTTAAAATCAAGACCTACAATGAGTGCTAAGAATTAGAAATAGTTTATATATTCAATATTATTTGTATTTATTATATTTACTCGCATTTAATGTTTAATTCTATTATATCTTTATTCAAATATTTAGAAATAATCGAAATAGACTATTAATTTTATTTTTATTGCCTAACAAATGTGATTTATGAACTTCTTTCAACATTATTTATTATATATACTCTTATTTATAGTTTACTTACTTTATTAATACATTCACTTGACTACAAATTGTAAATAGTAATTTTTAAATAGATTTAAGTGGTGTCGATTCTGTCCCAATTCGAAATCTAACCTAATTCAAATTGGAAGTCTACAGTTAGTTTAGATTTGGAAATGTGGCAGAATTGGCACTTAGTGTAAATCTGTATATTGGCGACGAAAAATTTTAATCAGCATAGACCAAAGAAAATTTTAATTTGCGAGGGTTGAGCGAACAAAAGTATAACTCTTATATTTAAGTACATATTACAAATAATTTTTACATTTAGCAAAAGTTCCGGAAATTTCTCATCGCATTATATTCATTCCAAACTCATCCTTTACTTAATGGAAATATATTTTATGAAAGGCAAGGAAAGCGAAAAGTTTACGACAAAAAATGAATTTTTAATTCAAATTACATTCTTTGTTATATGGGTTAATACTTATATCGGTTTTCCTTTCATACACGCGCAAATTTAGTTTCGTCAGCTTGTTATACAATAATTTCGTATTTCGGTGTTATGTTACCATTACTTTTGTTACTAATTTACAATTCCGAAAACTTCACAAGCTTTTTCCAGGAGCGACTATTTTCAAAAAAAAAATAATTAAAATGTATACTTCAAAATTTGATTTTTTTTGTTGATTACTTTCAAAGATATTGTATAATAATATTAGCAAGATGTCGTTATGGCATCATATGGAGTGGTATTTGTGTGTTTTTTGTGGGTTTTATGTGAACAATATACCACTACATATGCAATTCCTAGCTCTCGCTAATATCACTACACGGTCTTTTTATTTATAATTTTTTTTTTAATTTTATAATGACGCAACCAATATACTAAAACCAACGCAAATTTTAACGTACGCAATATGTACTTTTTACGTTTTAAGTAAAGGTATCGGTGTCAGTGGCGACTTTCTGGGAATACTGCAGTTACAGAAAGCAACAGAAGACACCTTTACTTAAAACGAGTGAGCCCACATCAATGCAATTTCTATAATAAAAATATTTATTTGTACTTTTTAAGCCCCCCTATATCTTCAGTTTTGTACAAATTGTCATATTATTTTACAAAATTTCTGCTCTAACAGTTTTCATTATGTTAATCTAACAAACCCATCTCAATACCACCATTATACAATACCTTTACAAAATTACCCTATGAATAATAATTTTATTGTATGTTTGAGTCTTTTGTACATATATTTTTTAATTCCAACCGGCAAACATACCGCCGTCTATTAAATACTTACTTGGGCCTTACAAGACGGGCTGCAGCACAGAATTGGCCATAATATCAGCGCCTACATTTTTTTGTTCTGTTTACGGGAGTTCGTCTTTATGTAAATACTGGTCCTTTCTATTTTCTTACTTCTGTCTAATTTGAAGATGTATGAATGATATGCCTTGTAGGCTCAGGTTAGGTATATCATGAAATCCTTACATAAATTTCAACACCATAATATCTTAATTTATTAATATTTCATATCAAATTCTTTCGATACGCTTCGAATATCCTAGTCCAATATTTACTTATTTTAACTTTTCGTTAGTATTTAAGTACCTATTTAATAATCCCTATTTATTAATGTTTTTGTAAAGGGTTTCGCACGTAAACGAAAGGACGTTTGGAAGGCAAAGCGGGGTAAAGGCTCTAAAAATGTTGTATATTTTGTGATACTTGTTTGTTATATTTCTTAAAATTCAAAAAGTGTATTCCTATGTAATACTTATTAGTTAGTATGCTATATTTTCTGTGCTATTAAATTTAAAATGTTTTCTTATCTATTTCATATTTAAAATATAATAAGGGCTGTACTTTTCGTAGGTGACTTTCATCCCTCGTTGTTTTACTATTTATTTAAATTTAGGAGTAAGACTATGTCATAAAATTAGAAATAAGACTAGGTATAACAAAACTTCGGACAAAATAACTTTAGTACCTAAGTGAGTTTCAAACGATACAGCAGGCATATTCCATCAATGCTTATGTAAATATTGTAATTACGACATCATAATTAATTTGCGCTTATAAATTTTATTTGCATAACAGTGCTTCCTATTTAATGTTAAGGAGATTTTAAAAGACAATATCAAAACAAACACAGGCACAGTGTTGCAATGGATAAAGGGAAAATAGAAGATACAACAAATACATAATCACCAACAAAATAATTGAAAAATTATAATTCAAAAACCAGTTGGCATTAACTGTAAAGACTAATTTAGATATAAGTATATGTATCATATACAAGTTACAACAATGCACATTAGGGTAATTAGATGATGTAAGTAAGCTAGTACAAAAAGATGCTGTGTTATAATTATGTAAAGTTTGTTTTTCTGTGATATTCGATCAATTGTCCAAATCATTTATTAATATTATCTTAAGGTTTGGAGCTAATAATTAGTGCCCGTATCAGTAAATGCATCATCACAGTTGAAATTTGGTTTAGAATATGATTTATAAATTAAATAATTGGTTCACGTAATTCACAAATTCAAATTTTCTTCAGTGCAACTAATTGTTGTATTTTTTTTTTTTTCAAATTATTACAATTGTTTTTATGCAGAGTTTAATTTAGTAATGGTTCTAACATGTTTTGTTCCTCATTTTACATATCGACACGTCTTGTGAAAACTGTAAACATTCGTTGAAAATCATATTCCAAAATGTCTTCAATCGGGTGCACAAAAACAGATGGACACATTAAAAAAACAGGTACCGATAATTTTTATTTACTCATATACGTACTGTTTCATATATTTCTTTAGTTACTTATTTCAATTATTGTAAGTTGAATTTTTTTTAATCACCAAATACTTAAGCAAAATAGAATTCACCACTGTAATAAATGCCACTTGTTATTCCGAAAAGGTGAGGGTGTATTAATTTTAACATTTTATGTGATTGTGATAAGCTATATTTGAAAAGTTTTTAAATTCACGTTCGGTTAAAGATTGACTACGAGCAACTAGAAAATCAAAGTAAATTTAGATTTGGAATTTTTCAATATAATTTCTTAATAACTTATTATGCTAATGTAAGTAGGTATAATATTAATTAATATGAATGTAAGAGAAATGACATATTTTCTTTAAGTAACCGGAATTACATTATCATTTAATTGAGTAAAACAATACAAACGACATTATCACGGCTGGAAACTAAAGAAAATATCGAAATGTGGAGTTAGGTCAAGCCTCGTAGGGCTTTAGCTTTCATGCAAGATGAATTTTTTTATAATTTTACTCAATTGAACGAGAATAACTTGACTGAATCAAATTAAAGGAAAATATAAAGAAAATATTAATAATGTTTATGTAATGTTAATTCATCGTCTTTTTTAAAAATAACTGTCACAATCCACGAAGTGGGAAAATGAATTTGAATCCAAAATTTGTGTGAAGGCAAAAATAATGCTATATTGGATAGTATCACGAAAATTACAAAAACAAAAGTTGGTGAGGAATGTTTATATTGAATAGTTTATATTAATTAAGAACCGAAATAAGAAGTGTGTAATGTAAGCGTCAAACGCCAAAAATATAAAAGACCTTAAGTATTTGTTAAAAATGAGGTTGTAACAGAATAGTAATGTTTGGTGTAATTTCTATGTTTTCAACTAAATAAACACTTAATATCAATGTCAATTTTCGTCGTTTTATTCACAGTAAGTGCCATAATTAGTTCCTGTATGAATCTTCATACACGTAAAAAAGTAATAAAAACAACGCAAACATTTCAAATTGTTTATTTAAAAAATATTTTATAGGAGTTTATACATAGTCTTCTCTTTTGGAAACAATCTACAACACAAATCTATTTTCTACTGTTTTGAATATTTTCTATTCATAAATAAAATGTGCAACTATGAATGTCACGTCATAAATAAATTTATGAATGAAACCTTAGTTCCTTTATTTTTTCCATCCTCTAAGGAATGAAACACAAGTTAAGATAGAAACTGTCACTTTTTTTAAGCTGCAAATTGGAACGCCATGTACATGACGTAAGATATTATTGACAACAAAGTTTTTTACAGATTGTATAACTTTGGGTGTGGCCCACGCCACCGTACGATTTTTATAAGAAATATTTCAATTTCTAACATTATTTTGTGAATATTAAAATCGCAAATTGAAAAATGACATGGAAATTATTGTCGTGAAACATTAGACTACGCCAAACTGTCTAATATTATTGAAACTTAATTTTCAGTAGTTATGGGATGCCTTTCTTTGCTTATTTGCTTTATACACTTGACTATTCAACTTTATACTTTAATCACAAAGGCTGGCCGACGCCAGCGCAGCCCTCTGGCAAGACAGATACCCATAGAAATGTTATATAAAGTCAATCAGTTCTATTAACACAGTGATGTATTTCCAATTCTTGAAAGATTTTCTTGAAGTATTTTTAACACTGTTAAACTACACGAAATTTTCAGTAACAATTCCAGTTCACATAATAAAGTTTTAAATGTAAAGTAATTTCTATTTTAACATTTTTAAGGACGTCATAGAAAACACATGAACTGGCACAATGGTAAATGCTATATTGTCTTAACCAAACATATCTTACGAACCATAAAAACAATTTACAATTACCTATCCAAATAAACAAATGCCTACACGTCTTGCGAGCATACAGAGATCAGCTTATATTTGTGTAACATGTACTTCAATGTGTATGTTATATGAATATTATTATACAATCCAGACACCACTTTTACATATTCACTATTTTAAAAAGTTTGTCCCTATATATACTTAATTACCATAAGCGTATTTGTTTTTAGCGATATTAAAAATACACTATTACGTACTGAACAATAAATAAGAAAGCATTATATGTATATCTACATGTGTGGATTCACAACCACACGTGACTCGTTAAACTAACATTTCACTTAGATTTCTAACCAAATTAGTTTTAAATCTACTCCTAGTATCACACTGCCTTATTTACTAAGCGAAACCAAAACGCGTCGTTCTACTTTACAAGAACAAACAATTGATCTCACGTATTTCCTCATGATCCCACGTTTATCAAATTAATGCAAGGTCTTCACTTTTCTACCGCACTGTTGACAAAATGTTTTTCCTACGGTCAAATTAATTAAAGCTCTCGGGCGGCGGCTCACTATACAAGTCGTTCCATTAAAAAGTAATCTACAATAAGCATCTAATATTTGCATCACATGACGTCATCCTATTGACGTATGAGAGCGTGCGATCTACTTAGTACTTTACTCCGAGCTGACTCGACTATATCTAATATTTCAAGACAAAACGGTAACAATTCGTTCAAATTCGTTTCATTTCAGAGCGTGTTGAATCCTTCGTTTTCTCTTAAACTCTCCCTTTCATCCGCTCTACGAACTCTGACGATATCCAAGCGCGGTGCGCAAGAGGGTCGGCAAGCACCAGGCGGTCACACCGCTTCTGTAGTGGAGGGTCCTCGCCCAATCACCGTCAATTCACTCCTACCGGTAAACACTTGCACTGTTTAATCTTCTGTATCCGCTTATATTTGAACGGAGGACTCTGCCCCGGACAGCGTAGAGTCACTACTACCCAAGTGAATTTCTTAGGACGACAAAACGAGCAAGACTTGAATGCGGGCGGTGGCCTCCCGTCGTTGTTGTCGCGCCGCCGCGGGCCCTTCGGGATGTAGAACGAGTTGCATTGCCCGTAACAAAACTTATTGATCACTGTAGTCGACAAGCATCCTGGTTCCCGTATCTTTTGCACCAAAGGCTCTGTTTTGCACCAATCCTCTTTTAAGTATTCCTTTTTAGTCACTACTAGCGCATTTTTGGAGGATTTCAAGATTTTTCTAAAATCTGCTCCCTGCGGAATTTCAGTAATATCCTCCTGGTCTGGAACTGACACAATCATAGTTTCCGAACTACCGTCTCCGAGATCATTTCGATTCAAATAGGATGGCGAAGCTGTCTTTGCTTGCTCGGCTTGCCTCCTCGCCGCAAGAATTTTTTCCACTCGTTCAGTATCGATGATGTCCAAAATAGAGCCGGTAGAGCCTGGAGGTCTGCGGACTCCGGCTCCAGCAAGAGTTCCACAGGTAGCAAGCAGGGCTGCAGCCGCTATCCAAATATGTGATTTGTAAAAGTTCTCCATCTGAAACAATAAAAAAATTCCATTAGAAAATTATTAAGAAAAGTCTCGCAACCGACTATCAATTTCCAAGTCCATGGGCTTAGTTGGAGCGGAAGTCGTATGCTAAACTCACGTTGCATCGAAAGATGTGAGCTGACATGTCGTAGATAGTGTGTCGGTGGAGTCCGCGAGCGGCGCTGGGTGCGTGCGCGCTGGGCCGGCCGGCGGAGTGGTAATGAGCGCAGCACCTCAATGGACCGCCGCTCAATGAACGAGATGACTCACCGCCGCGCCTCCGACACAGACCGCCGCCGCTGCGCGCCATACCGCAGACCCGACATCTCTCCGCGCACGTGTTGTCCGCGCCGCTGGATCCGTACACAATAAGCCTAAATCTCCCTTATCGTGCTAAGATCTAGTTTACAAACAGTAATCTGAACCGCATAGATAAAACATGGTTCCAATGACAAAACAGCCAAGTTTATCTAAATTTTGTCACATCTGTTATTATAGACGGTGTAATTTTTGCCAGTTTCAAAAGCAAAAGTTCGGAGAAAATTGCATGAGTAAGTTAACTTTACCACATGTTGCAAACACCTCAGAGAGGCTTCTTAGTATTTGGTAGATTAATAGAATTGGTTTATATCGAGCATCTGTGTGTACGGCGAGGGCGGAGAGATTTTCTCACCTATCGGGCCGGCGCCAGGCGAATCCGTCGGGTCGACGTGCGCGCACGTCGTGGACGTGGCCGTACAGGCGCCGGCGCAGATGCCGCAGATCCCACAACGCCACATTTCCGCCCATTTGTGCTTCCCACAATGCCCATAGAAATGTTGTATGCCACATCCGCAGCCTTCTACGAAATGTAGGCGCTGTGTGGGTGCCGTAATTACAATTACGTTTTTAACAAAGTATCGTCAAAATCCCTCATCTGATAAATTGTTAGTGTCTAATTGGTAGAGACCGTAAGAATTCTCGAAAATAACTCCCGACAACTTTATAATTTGTAAGGCTACTACTACTACGCATATTCATTACATCTTTTTAACATTTAACGCTTAACTCTCTCAGAAAATAGAGATATATATATTTCCACTAAATGACATATAGAATAACCACATCTATCAACTACATATTTTTATCACGTACTGCGATATAATTGTTATTCATTAAACCACACTGTTGATCATCAAATTATAGGATTCAGTGAGTCGATCGTTCGGAATGACACACAATCATAATTGAAAATTTATGAGTTTACAATAGCTTTTAATCGCAGGTACTTTGTTACCTGCGCATAAATGATATTATAATTATATATTGTTTGATTTACTTTATTGGATTCTAAAGTTAATAGGTACGAGTATGCTCAATGAAAATGCTCCGCTAGTCTGTTATTATATATTGATACAAAGATCGAACAGACACAAAAAAAATTCCTTCCATCCGGCTGGACCCGAGCCTACGTCTGTGGCCTCAACGTGGCTACAATAACTGGTTTGGATTTTTTTTATGATACCAAGGAATGGGACGAACAAGTCGTGTGCCTGGTGATAAGCTACGCGCCTGTCCATAACAGTTGCAGTGCCACTCAGAGCTTTAAGTCGCAAATATATGTGGGGCACTGTAACTGCGCCCGTCACTACATAAGTTGACGAGTCCCAAGTACTTTCACCAGCATATCAGCAGCAGGATCCAGTCGGGATTAAGGAATTTTTCTTTGTTTTTGCGAACTTTGTTTCAATAACAATAATTAATAGTTATTTTATGCAATTGTTGCATAATGAGGGTTCTTAAAGGCGAGTACCGTGTTTTGGCCACTCAGCTAAGCCTCGCGGCTTAAATAATAGGTACGAGATTTTAAAACCTAATTATGTAATCATTGCATACAATATTTTTTGTACAAGGAAATAAAATAATGAAACAAAACCAATATTTAACTGTAGTGTACTATACTTCAACTGTACACTTTGTTAACAGTCCCTGACGACAAACGCAATTTTTTTCAATAAATTTTAATCCGTTTATTAGGGTAGGCAAAGGTTCCACCATACAGCCTCTTCGTATATCTAAACGAAAGCCAAACAAACGCTACAAAACAAAAACCAAAGAGATACAATAGAACTGGCCAAGTACCGCATAAATATTTTAACCAATCATTTTTTTATAAAGATTTATGGCCCGGTTGCTAGACTTTTAGACCAATTTAACCAATCAGGAGGCAGTAGAGCGTTCGAGTAGCGTCCTAATTGATATTTTAATTAGCAAAAATACGACGTTCTGTTTTTGAAACTCATTGTAGTTCTATGTACAGCCCTTTAATACTCATTATAGTTCTGTGTCAACAAGTATATAACAAGAAATAGACACGAAATGTCATTTAATTTGTTTAAAAACTATTATGCCAAATCATTAGGGTGACAACTGCGCTCCGATTATACAGCCCGAATTCGAAATAATTCACTTCAAATAAACCAGTTTAACTAGAGCTTTGCTATTGGACGGAAATTGAAAAATTACATATTTAATTAGCG